CAAGTCGGAATATTTTTCTGTCTGGCCCACTATAAAATCCAGCTGCAGATCCAGTGCTTTTTTCCGTTTTTCCTCAAGACGTGACTGCTGCTTGAATTGCACAACCTAAAGAAAATTTGTTTATTTATTAAGTTTATATGCTTCCCATCTCAGAGTTTGAAACAACTTTGAGTGGCTTGAGTTAAGAAATACCAAACTGCATCTTCAGCAGAATATTATTAGGCATAATTGCAGCCATCCTTTCCTCTGCAACCATGAAAAAAACAAAGAGAATTTTGACTTTGTCTCATAGTTCAAAAGCATTTTGCTAATAAGAGATAGGCCTTTGTCCGGAATGTTATAAGGTCCTGTTTGAGCAGGAAGTTAGACTAGAAGGCCGCCAAGGTCCCTTCCAACGCTGTTTTTCTGTTAATCAGATTTTTAAAAATAAAAATGAATCCAATTACCTTAGGACAATAGCTCCAGTGAAAATTTTAAAAGCCTACACCAGTATGGTCTTGAACGCTATCTGAAACTATAAACCTATTGGACAATGGGAACTTGTCCTTCAATTCATCCTGTCTCATATGGAGTTGGTCAGGGGATAAAAATGAGGAGAAATCCCTACATGCACTGCATCAAGTTTTTGAAGGGATGGTGACATATAGCTATATAGGCAAAAGTAACACTTAAAGGACCAGATATTTCATGCATGCATTTAACATTTAACACTTTTGATTAGACACATAAAATAAGAATAAATTCAATATGACATGGAAAATGGTCTGGTATGTACTTGCCTATGCATTTAGGCTATCAAGAAATACACATACTTTTCCTGACTCTGGACAAGGATTTCACACACCTTCTCAACGTTGCTCCAGAACTGCTTGACCTCTTTGGCGATGGAAGAAGCAATGCGGCGCAACTTGGCTTGCTCCTCACGTTTGGCTCGTTCTTCTTTCTGCTTCTGTTCCTCGTGGTGCCTGATCACCATGCGCACAACCTGTATGATACAGAGGAGAAAGACAGCAGATACAAATGACCAAAATCCACCATATGTGGCCATATTTTCTACTTTATCCTGGGCTATATTTTAGGAGATATTAGTTTGCTGGAGGTTTTATTGAGGATAATCATACTGTGCCTTAGCCAGTTGAAATAGCACCAATTATATCACTTAGCTGCTAGATTATACAGAATTCCAGAAATCCCACAGCAGCCATGAAATAGTTAAGCAGCATTTCATTGCTTCTAAAAAGTATAAAGATAGGAATGGACGGATAGATGCAAACCAGCTGAAAAAGTCTGGAGAAGGGACAGTTTAAAGATGCCAGAACCCACCTTCCTGGCAACACCCCTCTTCCAACGACGTTCTTGAGCGAAGTCAGCAGAGAGCCACTGCATTTCCTCACAAAGATAATCCCAGTGCACTTTGGGCCGAATCGGCTCAGGCACCTTTGAAAGCCTTTTCAAAGACCAGAATCCTTCCTTCTTCATTTCTGCAATGCGATTCTCAATTTCTGCTTCCTAAAAAAGAGGCTCCAAGTCAGATAGTTTGTTCACATACTTCCTGAAAGGCTCAGGGGCTCTACTATCTTAGATTGCAAGTGCTTATGTCCAACAGAAAGATGAGTAAAATGGCCTTGTGTAGGCGTAGCGGTCACCCTTGGCCCAGTGGATAACGGGGCATGCAGAGACACGCTGAACCACACAGGAGAAAACAAACTCCTAAAACGCCATAACATCCTGATAGTGCATAACATAACATTCTGAGATGTGCCCTACCATTGACGTCCAGGATTTGACCATATATAGACTGAGCAGTAGATTAGAAATTGTACTTTTACAGGCTGTTTTTAACCACATGCTATTGCTCCTCCTGCCTTTGTCCTATCTCAATAAAAGGGGCTCTCAGACCCCCAATCTGGGTCGCTCCATCCCGAGAAAGATCGTGTCCTGTCTTTTCTCCACATTGGCCTCATGGACGAACCACGGGAACGTTACACAAGAGCTTACATGTTTTGCCTGCTCAGCAATCTCTGCATGTGTCTTGTCCCACATGCTCGCAGGATCAGGGGAGATATACATCCCTGATGATACCAGGGCTCTGTTCTGCAACTTGGGACCATCAAAACTTAGGTGACTGTCCAAAGAGGAATCGTGAGTGAGATGTGATGGTGAGATGCTCCCACTTGAGGCAGGTGAGCCTGAAGAGGCTGGTGACACTGGATTGCTGCCTGTCATTTTGTCTGATGTAGTCTGAAGCACGCAATGCAATATAGAAGGAAAGAGAAATCAACACCAAGGATTATCATACTGCCTTCAATCATTAAAATATAGTTAACTCCAGAAATAAGTCTAAGTGAAGTCTCAGAGAACTTCCTTTGGTTTGCCACAAAGCTGCTCCCTACAATGTATCCCACATTATTTTAACCATCACTGAAAATCCAGAGATAGTCTGCTAATCCAGAGGGATTTGCACATGGGTGCTTCTCACCTCCAACTCTACCTGTGTGTGCAGCATGTGGTGTTGTCGTGGAGGACTGGTCTGCATTTTAATTCGCTCTTGGTCTTTGCCTCTCGTCCCAATAGTTTCAGTTGCGGTTGTAGTGCCTGTGTCCTGTTCCAGTGCATGCTGCGAACCGGCCTCATTCTGGTCAGTCAACCACTGGGATGAGCCGTCCAGCTCCTGGGTTCCTTGGCAGCCCAGCCTGCGCTCGGGACTGCCTGACTCAGAATTAGCTGAATAAATTTATGAACAGAAACCAGCATTTAAAAACTGCAGCCAAACTGAAAATTTTTCAAAACTGATGCACATACCAGAGCTTTTTTTTTAAGTACAATTAACCAGTCAAGACAAAACAAATTGACTGTTGCCAATAGCATTTAATGTAAATGGAAAAAAGTGGAGGAAAAGGTATTGAAAAGGAAATGCACTCTCTCTGTAAGGCCAACTTTATTGTTTGGGGATTATTCTAACATTTTAGAAAGTTTTTCTCCTAAATACACTGTTACTTCTCTTTCAGTTTTTATAGATGCATCTTTAATAAATCTGTTAATTGTTTAATTTGGCTGCCTGTGTAGCTCTCTGAACATTGTTTAAAAATCAATGCTTATTATTATTGTGCTGTTCCATACTATGAAAATTGTAATAATAGTTTTGTTTCATAGCTCACTACTTTCTCATCTCTGTATCTTTGGAAAAAATAGCTGAATATATGTAGTCCTCGACTTTTGACAACTGGAATCAGAACTGCTGTTGCTAAGCAATACATTCGTTAAGTGAACTGCACCTGATTTTACAACTTTTTTGGCCACAGTTTTTAAGCAAATCATGCAGCTGTTAAGCAAATCCAGCTTTTCTCATTGACTTTGCCTATTAGAAGCCTCCTGGGAAGATGGTTTGAAATGACAATCACATGACCTGGTTGTAAGTATGAGGACTGGTCAAATCACTTTTTTCATTATTGCCATTACTTTGAATAGTTGTTAAATGGTCAGTTGAAAACTACCTATGTTATGATTTGAAATGTAACCCCAATGTAATGTAACGCAAAGATAATTTTGATACCACACCATCTTTTTCCAATAGAAATTTCCCAAGAAAATGTGTTTCCCCATTATGAGGAAATATGCAGCTCCAAACTTGAGAGTGCTCACAATATGTCAATGTGTGTGTTAGTTAACATTCATCAAATATGTCCTGCCTTTTGACTGCAATAGTTCCTAGTATACTCTCCTGCATATCACAGCAAGCAAAATCTAATACAGATAGCCCTCAATTTATAACTGTAATAGAGCTCTGAATTTCTGTCATGATAGTTGTGAAGCACCCACATGAGCAACTTGATTTCATAACGTTGTTTGCGAGGTTTGTTAAACAAATTCAGTGGTCATAAAGCAATCCCATTGTCTGCAAAGGGCATTTTTTGTCAGAAATTATAAGTACATACTGGTGTCCAGCAAAAATGTTAGAACTAGCAATCACATGACTGTGGGACATTGCAAACATTATAAATGTGGATTCGTTACCAGGCACCCAAACTGCAATTGTGTGTCAATAGGAAGAGGGAGGGTGGCCATCAGAAATTTGAATCTGGGTCATATTTTTGGGGGGGAAGGGGGATGTCATAACTTTGAATGGTCACTAACAGATCAGTTGTAAATTGAGGACTTACCTAGTATGAGATTCAGAAACAAACTGCATCTAACTGTTACTTTTAAGAAGATATGGTAATCAAGTACTTCATTAGTAGTTTATACAAATTCCATATTCACACACATATATATATAATGTATGTATGTATTAAAAAATCCAGCTGTACCTGTTTCAGCTGAGAATTCCACTTGCTTTTCAGACTGTACTTCCAGGGTTTCGCTTTCCAGGGGAAGACTACTCCTGAAAAGNTATATATTGCTTTTCTACCTAAGAAATCACTCATCACAAGCTCCTGTTTTCATTGACAAATCCAACACATTGTTTTTAGACCAGCAGTTTTGCAAGCTATCGATTTGGAGAACTAGGGTGAAATGTCTGAACAGTTCAAAAATCCATTCAGCTTCGATATCATGCAAAAACATTCATTTGTATCAGGGATGGCGAAGTATTTTTTCACCCCAAAACATTGTAAAACGTCAACTCTCAACAGTTCTAACCAGCATCAATTATAGTAAGGTGCAATCCGCATCTTCAATTGTTCAACCTCGAAATACAGGAACAACTATAAGCCGTATATTTACAGGGGCCGCTGCTCCCTCTTTCTTCTATACCTGAGTGACTAGTGCTATTCTCCTCCTCTGATTCCTCCTCATACTCTGAACTAGTAGGCTCCAATGCCTCTGATGAAGTGTGTGATGCTTCCTCTTCAAAGTCTGAAGCATAAGCAACAGCGTATTTCTGCAGCAACTCCTCCATGGGCAGTTCACCTATGAAGTCCGAAAGAAAACTTGTGTTAGGGGAAATGGAACCTAAAAGAGTTTGATTTCTCCAACCCCGTCTGCTGCTTTACTTATGTTGAAGTCAACTTCCCTTTCTGAAGTGGGAAAACTTTGAAATGACTTATCAACTGCAACTAGAGGCTATGTCTTAACCCTGACTACCAAACTCTAATTTGAGTAGAGTCAGATGCTTTCTGTCCCTTTGGTACTCCATCATGTGTTCAAATTAGCCAGTTTCTAAACTTTAGTCAGTAAAGTCATTTCCCCCTTGCTTCCAAAAAGAGATTAAAGGGGGGGGGGGGGAAGAGCCAGCTCAATAAAGTTAATAAAAAGGTTTGTGACAACACTTTTTTTGTGGAAGGAGTACTCCAAGACACCTACTGTGTTGGTGCTTAATCTGACCCTTGTTGCTTCACCAAATTCTAGGAATTATGGTTCATAGGTCCAGCAAACATTCAGAAACACAATTCAGTAATTATTGTTCTGAAGGATCATGGAATCCAGTTCCTAATCCCCATTTGCTATCCCAAACTACAATCTCTGTTCGAACCTTCCTTGGCCAGATCATCCAGTTCTTTGCTGTGATCCACATTTCCTTCCAGCTTTTCTTCAGCGTCTATTGTTTCCTCTTCATCTTCGCCTAGGAGAGAAAGGATTTTCTATGTTACTGGATTGCAATCCTAACCTCATCCCGATTCTCATTACATTCAGTCAACTCATGACCCCAAATAGCATGCTTACCTTCTTCTTCATTGGCCGTAAACTCCTCATCTTCTTCATCAGGTTTCCAAGGTTTCTTATTCCTCTGAGTGACAGGTTTGGGTTTTTCCTGCTGAGTAGAAGAGGGGGAAAGACTTCAAGAGACAGATAGCAACAGGAAACTCTCCACTGCACATAGCATATAACAGTAGGACAGAATATTGAAATTTAAAAGAGATCTTTTTAAAAAAACTTTTATTTTAAATCACATATGTAATTGATGCTTCTTGGCAAATATCAATTGTGGAGACCAGATAAATAGCAATACCATTTAGAGTTATTTACTGCTTTACAACCCTCTCTAAAGGGTTTACAGAGTCAGCATATTGCCCTCAACAATTTGAGTCCTTATTTTATCAACCTTGGAAGGATGGAAGGCTGAGTCAACCTGGAGCTGGTGAGAATCAAACTGCTGGCAGTCAGCAGAATTAGCTGGCAATACTGCATGCTAACCACTGTGCCACCCCAGTGCAGTATGACTTTAAAAACGGAGAGGTTGGATTCTTTTAATCCCAGCCTATAAATACATAGC